CCCTGTCTCAAAAATAAATAAAATGTTAAAAATAAATAAATAAAATTCTGTGTATATGTTCAGATAGACAGTGACAGCTGACTTTCTGTATGTGACGCTGATACCATGTTCTTTTCTCACCTTTTTTTCCCCTGCTGGGACCGATCGCTTCCATAACTTTAATATTTTCCTCTAGAGAATCACCCGAGTTGTCTCTCCTTGGCCAGAAGAGAGTTGCTGTCTTCACTAATGTGTTTGCTCTCATGACCCATTGTTGACTGGGATGGCGTGGTGATCATACCAGGGATCACTGGCAAAGTACTGGCTGTATTCTTGCCAGTTTGCCAGTGAAATTTTTTTTTTAAGTTTATTCATTCATTTTGAGACAGCGCGTGAGCGAGTGTGCTTGTGGGAGTGGGGGAGGGGCAGAGAGAGACTCCCGAGCAGGCTCCAAGGCAGAGCCCAACATGGGGCTTGATCCCACGACCGAGAGATCATGACCTGAGCCAAGGTCCAGAGTCGGCCACTTAACGGACTGAGCCACCCAGGCCCCCCGGGAGTGAATTTCCCAGTGCTAGAATATTTTCAGAGGCTAGTTTCTGCAGGCTGTCCTTTGGGTCTTTGTGTGGCTGTGCGTTCATTCCGGTACTGTTGTGGTCACTGCTGTCCGCTGTGTAGGGAAAAGTCCCAGCGCAGAGAGTGAAGCCGGGGAGTGCCCTGGAGAAGCCCGGCCGATGGTGCCCTTATTTGGGACCAGTAGATTATGTAGCAATTCCAGGGAAATGACATTACTTCAAACGGTTCCTTCCTTGGGGATTTTAGAGGGATTTGGCGTGTGCTACCTCTGCGCTCACACCGTGTCACGCTTCCTATTCGTCGAAATGCCTGTTCATTTATACGGGACTCCGTATAAAACCCATCCGCCCCAAGCGTGGCAGCGAGACGTCCGCGAGGCGGGAGAACGAAGATATGTACCAATGTCGCGGCAGGGTGCACCGGGACCTCCCGCTGGCCCTGTGCACTTCGCACTGCGCTCCGGAAGCCGAGGGAGGCGTGTCCGTGAGGCGGGGTGGTGGGTGTTGGTGACAGACGGTTGCTCTTCTCCCTCTCCCTGACTCTTCTCTCCTGACCCTCTCCTGTATTGATTTTTCTAGAGAGGAACATAAGAAGCATTCATCTGGTTGTGCCTTTCTTTCTGTCAAGAAGCAGTTTGAAGAATTAACCCTCAGTGAATTTTTGAAACTGGACAAAGAGAGAGCCAAGAACAAAATTGTATGTATTATCGGGAATAAGAACCAAGGGCAAGCTGTTGAGCACCTGTACCACGGAGCTCCCCGCCCCTCAGTTTGGAGGGGCTCTTCTCCTCAGTTAACATTTGAAGCCCCTCGGATGCACATGTGAGGGTACAAAGGACAGGAAAGCATCTGTCCTGGAATGTGGCCTTGGGGTCGTGCAGTCAGATCGGAGAGAAACGTGCTCCCCCCTGTGTTTAGTGTGAGGTGCCTTTGGTGGTGGGACGGCGGTGGTTAGACTGGCGCTCCTGCCTTCGGCGACGGTCTGTGGGAGGCCGTTCATGTGGTGTGTGAGCGTGGTGGGGACAGAGGGTTTGGGAGCACATAGCGCCATTTCGGGGAAGGAGCATTGTGGGTGTTGGGGGAAAGGACCTTGGGTTTCTGCAAGTGAACTTTCACTGGGGACAGGCATCCTAGGGTATCCGGAGAGGAGAGGCGTGAACCTGCGGACCCACTAAGGCGTGGGAACCCAGCAGCCCAGACCGTAGAGAAAATCGGGGCTCCCCGTTAAATCTGAATCTCAGGTACGCAGGGAATAGTTTCTTAATAGAGCTAATTTTTTCTCTATTACTTGGGGTTTTTTTTGTTTTTTTTTTTGTTTGTTTGTTTGGTTTTTTTCCAGAGTTTTATTTGCTAAGTATGGCCGTGTTACAGAGCACAGACGTTCGGGGGTTGATACCATAGCGAAGCACCGGGCTGGCGGTCAGTGTCCTGGTTCTGTCCCTGCCACTCGTGGGCTTTGCGGGTTGAGACCAGCCTTGGCCACACTTTCCCTGCTGCAAAATGGAAGGCTGATCTGCCCCGCCCTCCCGGTTTCTGAGGTCCTTTTTTGATTGAAAATGACATTCCCTTTTAGAGATGGTTACAAAATAGTTCCAGTAGGGTAGGTTTTAAATGCTGAGGGCCAGTTATGTTTTGTTAGGAAGGGGGAAGAAATTGGTGGTCAGTATAGCAAGGTGTGGAAGAGGTGTTGACTCGTGGGGGCCTTGGGAGCTGCAGTGTTGGAATCAGGAAGTGGGCTGGGGAGAGCCTTCTAGGCTGGGGGCCCGCACACCTGTGAAGTGCCAAGGTATTTTAGCCTTCGCGGGCCTTCGAGGGCCGCCTGGTTTCTGTTAGGTAGTATTCCTGTTCTGCTTCTCGCAACCGTTTAAAAATGTGAAAACCATCCTTCGCCTAATGACTGAGAAACAAGCCATGTGTCCCGCAGACCACAGCTGGCTGACCCCATTCTAGGTGACAGAGCAGCCTGCATACTTAGGGGACAGTCGTGAGAAAGCCGTCCTCCGGCAAGCAGGAGGGAGACTGATATGTGGCCCGGGGCGGCTGAAACCGAACTGTGCGGCACTGAAACAGACAAAACGATGTCAAGTGGGGGGCTCTTGGGTGAGGGCAGTCAGTCCGTGGGGAGGGGGGCTCATTGGAGCGGGAAGCCCACCGAGAGACGCTCGGTCACCAGCATCTGCGTGCACAGCGGTGGGGCAGAACTGGACCAGGTGAACATCCAGGGGACCGAAGTGCGGGGGTGGGAAGAAAATGCTTTGCTTTCCCCCAAGGGCTGCTTTTGTTCTTCTCAAGTCAGGATAAGGAAATACTTTAACATGATGCATTTATTTTTATTACTTTAATTATAAAATAAATAATATAAATTCCTGTAAGGAAGAATCAAAAGCCGTACCTACCTCTATACTTAGGGTGCCCACCATTAACGGATGTGTTTCCTTCCAGATCATTTTTAAACTTATGTATTTTAAAGAAGAATGCAAAGTGTAAGCTTTCAGACTTTCCTTATTTGGTTTATACTACTTCACAACAGGAAAGTTTCTATCGGCCCGTGGCACTCAACTATACCACTGTGACGTTCTAGAGCTGTGCTGCCCAGCACTGTGGCCACCGGCCACACTTGGCTTTTATGATGAAGATTCTGTAAAATGCAGAATTTGGTGCTCCGGTCATACAAACAGCATCTCACCTGTCCAACGGCTGCATGCGGCCAGTCACTGCTGCGCTGCATGGTGTTTTTGTCATTGCGAGAGGTTTTGCTGGACGTGGTGTTGTAGAGTGTCAGCCAGTTGTGATTTGCTGTGAATAATTTCTAGGTTTATTCACTTATTTTGAGAGAGAGAGAGCACACACACATGCGTGCATGAGCAGGGGAGGGGCAGAGAGAGGGGGAGAGAGAGAATCCCAAGCAGGGCGCGAACCCACAAACCGCAAGACCGTGACCTGAGCCAAAATCAAGAGTTGGATGCTCAACCAACTGAGCCATCCAGACGCCCCTGCTGCAAATAATTTATCGCTAGTATAAAATAAAACTCGGGTCCCCATGCACGTTTCCATGTGAATGGATGGTCACGTCGAGTCAGAGCCAAATGCAGGGGACCGGCATCACCAGAGGCCTGTCTGCTTCGCCCTGGAGCACCCAGGTGGGCACTCTAGGGTACCGCCCTCCTGGAGGCGGGCTGGCACGCAAACCTCATGTTTTGTAGGGGTAAATAAGGTTGGAGGCTGAAACTTTGAATGATTTATTAAATCAGTTATGTGATTGCAGTATGTAGTTTAAGATAATCGTTTGCCAGACGTTCTGGCAAAAGAACACGAAGGAATAATTGTTTTGGGTTACACGAATACCGAAGGGACAAATGTTTGCTGTGAGGCTGTGGATTTCTGAGGCCCCAGATTTAAATGTGAGGCGCTAAACAGCATGACGGGATCACCGATGAGCAGCCCACCCTGGTCCTGACGCACAGAAGGCCTGCTGCATCGGTAGACGGCCGGGGCTGTCGGGGGTCTAACTTGGGAGCACGCCGCATGCCCTGTGACTCGTTTTCTGCTGCTGCATGGCCACCTCTGCATTTAGAGAAAAATGAAATAAAGTGGAACCAATTAGAAAATAAGTCTGTTCAGGGGACGGACTTCATACGGGAGCAGCAGAGAAGTGCCAGGCTTGAATTTGTGGGCACCAACAGTGAGGATAAAGTGAGGCACGAGAGGAAGGAAAAAGGGGTCCTAAGCTCCAGATAGCACGTGTGCTCAGTGAGTTTTAATATGCTTTTTTTTTAACTTACTTATTTTTTTAATAATTTTTTTTAATGTTTATTTTTGAGAGAGACAGAGCACAAGTTGGGGAGGGGCAGAGTGAGAGGGAGACAGAATCCGAAGCAGGCTCCAGGTTCTGAGCTGTCAGCACAGAGTCTGACGAGGGGCTCAAACTCAGGAACCGCGAGATCATGACCTGAGCCGAAGTTGGACGCTTAACCGACTGAGCCAGCCTGGTGCCCCTTATTGTGTTTTTCATAGTGAGTTTCTGAATTTTGCTTTGATCCACCTTTATTAAGAAAACAGATAAAATGGAGATGTTGACCTCCGTGTTGTGGTGGTTAAATTACAGACTGTGTACATAGGGGCTTAATTAATTTTAGGCTTTTTTGAAAGGGAAGAAGAAAGTAAATAAAAAATATATTTTGCAAGGCCATGGGCCAGGCGCCTGGCTGGCTCAGTCGGGACAGTGTGCAACTCTTGATGTGTGTAGGTCATGAGTTTGAGCCTCATGTTGGGTGTAGAGATTACTTTAAAAACAACAACAAAAAAAGCCATTGTCATCTTTCCATTGTCAGTAAAGACGAGGCTCCGTTACTAGGCACACTGTTTCTTGTCTTGTGCTGTTTTCCCTTTTTCATGTTAAATCTTATTTTTTTAAGTAATTTTTTAATTAGTAATTTTAGCCTTATACATGCAGCAAAAGTAAGCTATCCAAAAAAGCACATATTGAAAAGTAATTCTTTTTAATTCTTATTTATATTTGAGAGAGAGGCAGAGTGTGAGCAGGGGAGGGGCAGAGAGAGAGGAAGACTCAGAATCAGAGGCAGGCTCCAGACTTGGAGCTGTCAGCACAGAGCCTGACGTGGGGCTTGAACCCATGAACGCAAGATCGTGACCTGAGCCTAAGTCAGAGGCTTAACCGACTGAGCCACCCAGGCGCCCCTTGAAAAGTAATTTTTTTGTTTTAAGTTAGCCTCTAATTAGACAACTATATATATGTGATCA